CTGTAAGAGCTCAGGAATAAAGAGGATATATAGAATGTTCGTCTTAAAATTGTGGGTGAACTAGCTGTGTAAACGTGGTTCACTTTTCCTCTGTTAAGGATGTGTCTTCCCTGGTCTTTGCCCTGTAGAGAAGTGTTCCCTTCTCTTCAACGGTGAGCATCTTTAGTGCCCAGACAGCAGTCTTCTAGCACAAACAGTGGGCTTTGGAGAAATCAGTAATTCTAGAATCGAATAGGAAATAGACACGGTGAATCTAAGACATCTTTTTGTGTTAGAAAGCAAGAAAGCTATGAGAAGACTTTAGAGCCATGCCCAAGGTTGCGAAGAGACAATTTGAAGGGACTCTCAGTGGCCAAAGGTCACAGTCTGTGCATTGGAAGGAACAAATGAAAACACGGAATACCTACACACACATCCGCCCAATCGTGTGTATTTTTTGCACATGAAATTGTGAAAATCAGAAGAAAGTCACCACTGGTAAAGATTAATTGGATTGCCAACTCCATTTTTCTGACCACTAATGAGGGATCATGGCAGGCCTGGCCGTCTCCGTAAGAATTCATTGTGAAGAAAACAAGAAGTTGATTGGAAAGTTCCTTACAATAGAATCTCGTGGAACATATGCAGAAGGAATAATGGCAAATTGGCACTTCGTGGCCACTAATGAAATAGTGACTCTGGGAAAGAGTCATCTGCAGATGCTAAAACCATTAATACAAGATTGAAACCTCCTCTGTGCAGTCTAGGATCACGAAAAGCGGGTCAATCAAAAGCTAGAAGCCTCCTGATTCAATAGAAGGCTAGAACAATTGAACTGAATCTGATTAAGCCTCCTGATCTAACTTCCAATTTCAAGGAAATAGGAAGAGTGAAGGCCTGCCATGAGGAAATGGTCACAGCCAGCACGTGGAGCCTTGTGCAGAGTGAACAACTTCATTCCTTCAGCAGATAGAGTGGAAGGTGGGGAGAGAAAGCAATATGGGAAGGGGCATGCCATCCTAGCCTCGAAGGGATCAGGAGACATTTATACTGGATGCTGTTAGGGAACCACTGTTAATCCCACTGTTAATCTTGTTAGGGATACATATGGCCTTATGCTAATGTTGAAAGAAAGCCCTTATCTGCTGAAGCACTTAGGAGTGAATTGATCTGATAGTTGGTACAATATTCTAGCCAGCAGTCAGTCAGTAGTGGAAACAGTGAAACAAGATGAGCAGAATGACGGACAAAATGTCGACTGCTGTGAAATACTCTATAGCTTCATACAGGCTTTCAAATTTTCATGCTGAAAAAGATTCAGAATTTGTACTAGCAAAAGAAATATATAGCCCCTTTTAATCATTCAGTAATTAAAAGTCACTGTCCCTCCTTTGTGTTCATGCAAAGGTAAGTGAGAATCCTGGGCAGGTTTCTATTTGACTGTTTTTAATTAAGTAGGCCAGCTTACAAAAGGGCAGTATGTTAGGGTAGATTAACACGAGCTCTCTGGGAGTTGGTTTCAGTTATAAAATATATCCTTTCAAACAGGTTTTGATGAGGTACAGCTTTGGTAAAGTGACACAAAATATTGCCAGTGACTTTTTGTTTGTTTTTCTCTCTATTTTTCCAATTAATTTTACCCAGTGCTAAGAGTAATTTCATAAGTTAGGCCTTTATAGTAAGTACCCTGCTTTTAAAACTTCAAGTCAGATACTGCACTTCTTCTTCTTCATTTATATTTAATTCTATTGTCTGCTCTGCCCATTCTTCTAGTGGTAGTGGAGGGGGGAACAGGGAACAGAGAATTAACAGACGAGCACACAGAGACCAAGATGTGCTTTCATTTGGGGTCACTGTGTTTTCCAAGAGCGTCTCTTAGCGCTGCTGAGTGTGAGACACCATGCTTTGCCCAGCTGGGAAAATGGACAGCTCTGCCATGACCTTGTGTTCTGAGGTTCTTGCATGCTCCGTGAAGGGAGGCCATGTCAAGGGCTGAGAGTGGGCACAGTACCGCCAGTGGGAAGGGGCAGGAAGAACGTTCTCGAGTCTGAGGAGAATAGGAATGCAGAGTTAGGCAGGAAAGTGAGAAGAGCAGTGTGAAAGGCAAAGTAGAGGGAACCGGGAAGGCAAGGGCAGATGGAGGCCTGGGCTCGGAACAGTTAGCATTTGGCTGTTAGTGAAGATAAATGGGAGGGCATTGCTGATTTCTTACAGTGTTAGGAAATATTTCATATATATATAAAGTATATATAAGATGTAGAAATGGAACATCGAACACTTAAATATTTACCATGTAGCATAAGAAATAAAGGATTACCTACGCTCCGGGGTCCCTGATCACCTCTTCATAGTCTTACACTCTCCCTTTGCCTTTCCTTTTTCTCAGAAACAGCACTTTCTTAGTTTTCTGTTTACACTTTCTTTGCTTACATATGTATGCTCTCTAAAGCCATGCATAGTTTTGCATGATTTTGACCTTTGGGCAGTACAAATCATCGTGAATGAATCTTACAGAACCCTGAGTGAAACTGAAAAGCTGCAGAGGCCACATGATGTTGAAAGGCTTTGGCCAGGGCAGTGACATTAATCTGTACTTGTAAATATGCTTTCATGCGGCCTGGAGAAAGGCTTCACTGCATAAAAACAGGCAGGAAGGGATGGGGAGGGCAGTCAGAGTTGCTGTACTCTTAAGTGGGAGCTAATGGGCGATGACAGTCACATTGCAGAATTAGCAAATTTAGACATGGCCATTAAGATGTCCCCTCTTAATTCTTAGCTCTCTGTTCCTGAGGGAGCGCAGGATTGTCTATTGCTTCAAGTCTTTCCTGCTCTCTCTCCCCAAAGGCTACTATTTTATAATGCTCAAGTCTCTGCTGGGCAGGTTCTTTCCTGCTCATGGTATTGAGAAGGAACTGGCTACCCTTATTAAGTCTTGGTAGTCTTTAGTTTTTCTCACAGGTTTTAGGAAATGGCACAACTTTATGTTTATGCGTTTATAGATGCCTGCTCTCACAAACGTGTAAGTGCACCAGGGCTGCTCTTGTCTAGTGTCCTGTTGTCTCACCCTCATGCCCGTATTACTAGGTATTTAGTGTCTGTTCACAAGGTGAGTGAACTGACTCGAGGCTAATCCAGTGGAGCCCAGGTTTCTCTTTTCAGCGGTATTCCCAAGCATCTCTCGGGCTGTGAACTGTTTTTAGAACTTGGGGCAATTACCCATTTGTTCTAGACACCCTGAATGTGTAAAGTTTCATGTTACCTTCCTTCCTCCAGTCCTTCACTTTGTAAATATCCCTCACTCACAGTTGCCTGGAACCTTGGTGTTGTTCTTTAGTGTTTCCTAGCCCTAATCGCTGGGTACTGAATCTTCCTAGTTATATATTTTTACTCTTTTTGAGTTAGGGTCTTACTATGCGGCCCAGGGTGACTTTAAACTTATGATGTCTCTGCCTCTACCTCTTGAGTACTGGTTTCAAAGGCATGTGCTACTATGCCCAGCTCCTTTATGTCTTTGGCGGTTTCTCTGGTCACTGGTTCACCTCTGCTTATTAAGCCTACAAACATTTTAGCCAGCCCCGCGTTCTGCTGGAGCCTGCTTTTCTGAGTATTAAGCCAACTCTTCACCACAGTACTTGTCTTAGGGTTTCTGTAGCTGTGAAGAGACACCATGACCATGGCAACTCTTACAAAGGAAAACATTTAATTGGGATGGCTGACAGTTTCAGAGTTTTAGTCCATTATCATGACAGAGAGCTGGCAGCATGCAGGAAGGCACTGGAGCAAAGGCAGAGAGCAGTGTCTTGGTCTGTGGGCAAAGGGAAAGACTGGGCTGGTGTGGACTTTTAAAACCTCAAAGCCCACTCCCAGGGACACACTATTTCCAGCAAGGCCACATTCCTATGCTTCTAATCCTGTCAACCAGTTCCATCCACTCCCTGGTAAATAAGTGAACCTGTGGGGGCCATCCTTCTTCAAACCACCACAGTGTCTTAAATGACAAAGCATCAAAATTTAAAATAAAGTCCAGGTCGGTATTACTGATGTTCCCCTGAAGCCTCTTCACAACAAACCATAAACACTGATATTTCCAACACGTATGTAGAGGTAGAGTTTTTAGACTCAAAACAGCCTGCTGACCAGAAATGACGACAAGCTCAGGTGTATGTGTGGACTACTCTCCTAAAGGATAATTAGCAATATGTCATCGAATGCAAGTTAGAGTAGGAATGTGTGTATAATTTATTGTATAAAGTGATAGAATGCAAACTGCGAGTGTTCTGGCTCCTTGTTGAACTGGTGCACCGAGACAAAGGACTGTGTTGGGGCAGCACTGCTGGGTACCCAAAGCTGCCCGCCCGGAGCTCAGGAAGGTCCCTGGTTCCTGTATGGTTTGCTCTGCTGAAGGCCGTGTGGGGATACCAACTGAGTTTTAATGCTTTTTCATGAACGCTGGGAAAGCAAGCTTTTAAAGATGACTTTCTCTCTTTTTTTCCCTTCCTTTCTTTCCCCCCTCTCCTCTCTCTTTTTCCCTCCCTCCTTCTTTCCCTCTTTTTTTCTTCCTTCCTTATTATTATTTGTGTGTGTGTGTGTGTGTGTGTTTTGGAGACAGGGTTTCTTTGTGTAACATCTCTGGCTGCCCTGGAACTTGCTTTGTAGATCAGGCTGACCTCAAACTCACAGAGGTCTACCTACCTCTGTCTTTGAGTGCTGAGAATAAAAGTGCTCCACCATATGCCCGACTTTAAGATAACTTTCCTGTCTGTTTTGATATTTCCTTGTGGTGCTATGATTTAAAAGTGTGTATACCTTGTCTTGGTGACGGAGGTTTTGAAGCTGCAGACTTCTGTTAAGACAGAGTGGGTGAACCAACAGGATCATTTCTGTTGTTCAGACGCCATGTAGAAATGGGTATCGCTTAATGTTTAATACAGTGAGTTGCAGGTTGACAATGATATAAAGAGCTAAAATATAATATTTAACTTGATGCTGTTTTACTTTCTAAACATTAATTTTTTTTTTAGGTGTATAGTGTTGATTGGAGCCAAACCAGAGGTGAACAACTTGTGGTGTCTGGCTCATGGGATCATACTGTCAAAGTGGTATGTCAGCATTACTGCATTTGAAAGCAAATAGTTTCCTTCCAAGCTTCCATTGAATATTTTATTTTCTAAAATATTCTGTAGCTTTAAACATGATCAATTAATTTTCTTTTCCAAAGTATATATTTAAATATTTGTCAAAATTTTAAAAATTTAGTCTTGGCTACAACCTAACAATTAGCTTAGTGGTGATTGTTTTAGTTGCTTAAAGAAAATCTTATTTTATGTAAAAATTAATCTTAAAAATCTTTGAAATATATGTCTCTTTTGTGTGTATATAAATGTATATGTTATTTATGTCTTACATATACAGTGATACATAGCATATATAAAAGTACATTTATATTTACCTTTGTTGAGTAATTGATTTTCTCATTTATTTTCAGTGGGATCCAACTGTTCAGAATTCTCTGTATACCTTTAGAGGGCATGAAAGTGTCATTTACAGCACAATCTGGTCTCCCCACATACCTGGTTGTTTTGCTTCAACCTCAGGTAAATAATTCTTAATTTCCCAGAAGCCTTATGGGTCGATTACCTTTTTACCATTAGGTGGCGCTGTGTACTCTCTAAATTCAGAGAAAATGAAAGTGTAGTGTATCCATTTTGGATTCTTAGGATAGTTAGGTTTTTTAAATTTATTTATCTTTTATTTTTTAATGCTGGAGGTTGAACCCAGAGTTTGGACTTGCCAAGCATGTACTGAGCTACATCCACGGCCCTTTCTTTTCTCTTTTTTTCCTTTTTTTTCTTTTTCCTTTCTTCCTTCCTTCAATCCTTCTTTCTCTTCTTTCTTTCTCTTTCTCTCTCTCTCTCTCTCTCTCTCTCTCTCTCTCTCTCTTTCTCTCTCTCTTTCTTTCTTTTTTTTTGGTCAGCTTCTTGGCAAAAATTAACCTAAAGCTGAGTCCCCAGATTGTGTTTCAGTGAATATAGCCCTTTTACAATAAATATTAGTTTTTTTGGTACAGACAGATTTGTGGTTATAATGTCATAACAGGTTTAAAAATACATTTGAAAGAGGAGGTTTGCTTTTGTTGTCTTGTTTTAGAATTGGGCTTTTTAACAAGAAGGTTGAGTTTGGACCTGAGATACATGTCTTGGTGAATAAAATTGTGTCCTTGGCTTATAGTTGGTTAACTGAAGCCATTTCACGTAACCAGAGCATCCAGGGAAGATAGAAGAGAGACAGATGGAGGCACTACAGCCCTCAGAGCCAAATGACTCACAGGCAGGTTTTGTAAATAAAGTTTTATTGGAACATAGCCACATCAACTCATTTGCATCTCGGCTGTGGCTGCTTTCTTATAGTCCTAGCAAGTTAAGTAGTTGTTATAAAGACCTGATAGCTCCCAGAGCAAAAACATTTACTTCTGGCCTTTTATAGGAAATCTGTGTTGATCCCTGGAACCTTAGGGAGAGAGAGAATTAGAAGGTCTTCTTCACAGTTTGTTGTTTAGAGAGAGAAGGCAGTAGCTGGAGAAGGAGGTAGTGAGCTTCCAGTGTTGTCTTTGTATTTAACAATCCAGCCAGAGGCAGGCAGCCACTAGGTAGACCTGGTGTCCCTTCCTTGTCAGTAAACTGTTATCAGTGTCCTGAGCTGCTGAACTATATGAATTGGCTTTCATAGCAGTAAGATTCACAGAGATCCTTTGTTAGTTGCTTATAATTCTCAAAATTAAGAATACTGATATTCCCTAAGTTCTCAAATTGTTGTTTGATTGAAGACAATCAAAAACCTGTAGATAATTTTATCCATTTAGATTATGTAGTTTTTGAGATTCTAATAGTAGGAAATGGTAATATCGCTTCATTTGTTTGCTTTTTCAAGACAGGGTTTCTCTGTATAACCCTAACTGTCTTAGAACTCTCTCTGTAGACCAGACTGGCCTACAAGTCAGAGATTCACCTGCCTCTGCCTCCTGAGTGCTGGGTTTAAAGGCATGCACCATTACTACCCTACCGAAATAATATCTATGTGTGAAAATATCATTAATTTAAGAAATACTTGTTCCTTGATAAAAATAACCAGTATTCATTTTTGAAATGAAGAGCAGTATACTCTTATACGGCTTATAGAATGAATACTGTTACCCCTAAAATTTCCAAGTTTAAATTCTAGCTTTCTTGAAAATCTGTGATTGAAATGAAATCTTTTCCAAAATATTAAGTCTTTTGGAGTGAGTCTAGTGATACATTTTTTTTCTAGTTCCATTTTTTTGAAGATTTAATGTAATCTGAATTTTCTTTGGACCATCAGCTCACAAATAATGAGACTTATTAAATGAAAGCTCAGCCTCAGTTTAGGCTTGTCCCAGAAGCTCTTATTACTTAAACTAACACATATTTTTATTATTCTATTTTTTTCTTTTGTTCTGGTTGCTTTATTTAGGGGTTGTGTTATTTGTTTCTATTAGGTTTTTTTTTTTTTCTTTTGCTTTGGCTTTTGAGGCAGATTCTAAATATTATTGAGTGTTCTGCCTGCATGTATGCCTGTATGCCAGAAGGGGGCACCAGATCTCATTATAGATGGTCATAAGCCACCATGTGGATGCTGGAAATTGAACTCAGGACCTCTGGAAGAACAGCCAGTGCTCTTAACCCCTGAGCCATTTCTCCAGCCCCAACACATATTTTTATTAATCTACATCTACCACGTGACTCTTTACCTCTCTCCCATTTTGTGTGTCCGACTCATTCTGCTTCTCAATGGAATCTCCTGCCTCCTTCTGCCCAGAAGTTTTGTCTATAGCTCCTGCCTAGCTGTTGGCCATTCACAGCAATACATCTTCACATAGTACACAAATATTCCACAACATTTATCCCTTTTTGTCTGAATGAAAAGGAAAACCTTTAACTCTAACATAGTAAAACTATATATAATAAGAACAATTATCAAGTAAGAAATACCCTCACAGTGTTCAGTCCCTTAGTATTTGGCAAGTTCAAAGAAAATGCTCCATTATCTATCCTGTCTTGGTGAGTTCAAAGTTTTGTACCTGATTGACTTTCTATCATAACTATGGAACACTTTAACTCTAACTATCTAATCTTCAACCCCATTAAAGACCCAAGAAAGATATAACTGATATATATATATATATATATATATATATATATATGTATATCTGATATATCTGATTGAACAGGAAGTGCAAAGCAAACAACTTCCAAAAGTGAGAAACATCGGAGACATCTAGCTGCCTAGACAGTTACCCCAAGGTTCCTCTGCAACACTGGGGCATCCATCTTCAGCCTACAGGCCCAGAATGTCTGACAGACTTTTCCATGAAACAAGAACTTTGAAGGACTCTTCTACCTTGTCATGGCAAAATTTTCCAGTCGTCTTTGTGTGTGTGTGTGTTCTCGTTGTTCAGTTTGGACGGCATTCTGTCAGCATTTGAGGCAAGGGCAGTTTATGTGCCAAGTGGTTAACTTTGCTACAAATGAGGGAAACTCCACATGAAGGTTCTTCAGTGTCCATCGTCTTTTTTTTTTTTTTAAGTAAATTGGTGCTGCCAGGAACAGTCATGTCTCACTGTCGTGAAAAGCATTATGTTATTAAAACATTTTAAATGCTATATTATGTAGGTCTTTGAAGTGTTTGAAGAACATCTGTCTATTTAAAATTTTGTTTGACCTTGAAAACCTACCTAACATGAATATAAGTTTGACTGGTATAGATAACTAACCACTAACCTGTATTTCTTTATTATTCTAGATATCTTTTAAGGACTAGAAATTTACATTACATTGTTAAATGAGGTGCATAGGTACAATACCTTAAACAAAAGTAGAAATATACTTAAGAGTGTGTATGTGTATGTGTATGTATATACAGTGTAACAAAAATAACCTTAAATTTGTATCAATATGCAAAAATTCATACTAATATAAAATACTTGAGACTAGTAGCTGTTTTTAGTTCAGAAGTAAATTCCACAATCTACTATTTTATCCTATCATTTCTATATTATATCCTCCTTTTTCTCTTCAGAAAGAGATTCCTGACTCTAATCTCCCTTTTCCCCATTATGATCAATAACAGCTTATAACCAACCCCCCTAAACAATATCCACTGAATGACCAAAACCACCCACTCCACCTCTTGGTAATATGGACATTGTGCTCTCTAGACTGCTTCCTGTTGTCTGGGGGCAATGACATCTTTAGGGGACCCTGAGAAAATTGGGATAGTGGTCAAGTCCTGGAAGAGGTAGCCGTATTAATTTTTGTTTAGTCTCTGTGTGATGGTAAGGTGTAGAGCTTATCTGAAGTCTTGGCTGGAGTAGTCTGTGATGCTGAACCATCTTGGGTAGCAGTTTTGAAGTTGGTCTGTGTGTAGAATTTTGAGGAAACTGCAGTAGAGGCATTCTGAGAGGCTGGCTCACCTGGGCTACTTGTTTTAATTGGTGTCTGGTCCTTTTTTTTCCTGAAAACACATAAGCTTTTAAAGGTATATATATCTGCATTAACACAAGTATGGAATTTCAGTGTGCACAAATCAGTTCAAGATGATTTTCTGTTATCTGTATGCAGCTAAAAGGCATCTGTTAACTTTGTAAATTTATTTGGACTGTATAACCAAACCTCTGTCCCTGCCATATGAAAGGACGACAAGTAGTATAAGTTATGAGGATTCAGTACCCAATGAGCTCCTTTTTTTCCCCCGCAGAATTTTATATAAGCCCAGCTGGACCCTGGACTACTGCTCCTCCTTCCAATGCTAGGTTTTGTGTGGTGCCGAGGATCAAACCTAGGGTTCCCTGTGCACCACACAAGCACTGTTTCAATGGAGCCGTGTATCCAGCTCTTCAGTTTTCTCCTTTAGAGCTGAATGTGGGTGTCATCTTTCTTTGGCACAGCTGCTCTTAAGGCTAGGTGTATAGACCAAGTGAATGGTAGCAATAGTAATGCACTTATTTGAAATTGAAATGTAAAGCCATGTAAATACCTTGATTTCATCTTTAATGCTTTTAATTTAATGTAAATGTTATAGGTTTCATGCTTTCTGTGAAACAAATCTGTAAGTTGACCACAGTTCATTTTAATGCTTAGAGTTTTACCATTTTGTATTTTTACCATTACTGAAAAGTCAGACCACAGAGGGAGTTAAACTCTTATAAGGATGTTGAGTTGGAATTGGCATAGTTCCCTCTAAAGAAGGACCACCCTTCACCTTACAGTCTCTGGTTTCAAAGGGGCCATTTCAAACACTGAATGAATTAATGATATAGACTACACCTACCTCAAAATGAACTGAAGGGTTCCTCCCTTCCAGGGAAGCTGGGAGTTCTAATTTGTAATGTTTAAAATATAAATTAAATTTAACAATCATAATTTTTATATAAAAATGTTAATTAAAAATTTTGAATTACTGGTAAGTTTTTAAAAATTCCTTTTACCTTACTATTATATTATAAGACTACCTTCATTTTCCCCCTTTCCATGTGTGCATGCATGTGCTAGATTGAAGCCCACTCTTCCACTGAGTTATA